GTGTGTTTAATTTTGCTTTGTAGTTTTGTTAATGGCAGAACAATATTCTGTACCTTAAATTAATTCCAGTGCACTAGTTCCTTGAAAAATTTAAAAATACTAGTACCTTGAAAAATTTCAAACTACTAGTACCTTGAAAAATTTCAAACTACTAGTAGTTTGAAAATGAATACTTAATCAGGCCCGCTGACCCTGGGAGATTTCAAATCCTCCACCTGCTTTGAAGATAGTTTTCTTCCAGTTTCAAAACACTGATTAAACACATGGGCGTACCGGGGTGGGCGGCAGCCCCCCCCCCCAGTTTGTTGGGCAAACAAAGTCAGTCGGGCAATATTCGCTCCACATGCAGTCGGGCAATATTGGCTTATTATAAAAATAAATGGGACAAATTCTGTCAATTTTGTGGGAAATTCCGTCAATTTTGTGGTCAATTTTGTGATGTGTTGAAAATTTGTATGATGTTCCGAAAAATTTTTGGACCCCTAAAATGATACACTGACCGAAACGGGGGGGAGTTCGCCAAAATTAATTTGTTAAGGAAAAAATTTTTTCGGCACTGGTCGGGCACAATCCGAAAAAGTCGGGCAAATTTCTTTCCGCCCCCCTAATTTTTTCCTTCCGGTACGCCCATGATTAAACATTAATTTCTTTTGTTTTCGGTTTATAAATTATTAATGAGTTTAATTGAGAACACAATTTCTCTGTCTCTGAGCATGTTCAGCCTAACCACATGCAAACTAACAATTAAAAAAAACTGAAAATAATTTCGAAGTCATCCTTCTTTTATAGCTTAGCGAAAATATAACTGTGCTAAGTTTTGTCTTTAGTTAAAATAAGGGCCGATTACGTGGATGTTTTCAGCCCGGGATGAAATTTCAGCCTGGCAAACAGGGATGAAATTTCAGACTGGGGCCCCTATAAATTCAATATAATATGAATTTTACGATTACATGGAGAAAATTTGAAAAATAAAGCCACTTAAACGATTGTTTTTTTACCCCGGGCTGAAATTATTTGCGATTACATGGGATATTTCATCCCGGTTGACAGGGCTGAAATTCAGGCCGGGTTGAAATTTTCATCCCGGTTTATGTCACCCAGGATGAGATTTTCAGCCCTGTCAACCGGGATGAAATATCCCATGCATGTAATTGCAAATAATTATGCAACCACAGTCTTACACAAGTCAAATAGTCGACTAATTAATCGGCGTTTTAAATGCTCAAACAAGCGGAATATTGCCTTTCGTGATATCGTATGATTTCACTGAGCCGGGATGACATTTCATCCTGGGTTTGTTTTAATACTACAAGGAATAAATATTGCTCTGACTAAAACTCAGCCCAGGTTCAAACTGCCCATGTAATCGTGATGCTATTTCGGCTCGGTTTACCGGGCTGAAATTCAGCCCAGGCTGAAAACTCTCCATGTAATCGGTATAGAATATACAGAAATTATCTCGGCCATAGCACTATCTACTTAGTTTTAAATAAAGAATGCTGTGACTGCTAAAACCATGTAAATTGATAATAGTAGCCATTCGTACGGAAATGCATTTTCGGGTTTAATTCCCGATGAAAATAGCAACTATTTATGAGAAAATAGCGACCGGAACTTCGGGAAGGAACAAAACACTTGTAGATTTCAGTCACGCTATACGTCGAAAATACCCAATTTTCACGGCCTCCGTACGAACTCTAAATACAATAACCCAGACTAATTTTTTTATATGTTCTAGAAGAACATTTGATTAGTTAATGGCGTACGTTTCGTGTAGAAAAAATGTGGAGCACTTAGTTAAAATGGTTTTGGCGTGGCAACGGTAGATTGCAATTTTAGCTATGTGTGAATAACATACGATCCTAAATATCAGCTGTCTGGTTTTAATTAATAGTTAATATCATGATTTTATACTCAATCGAGTCTCAAACATCTCTTCCATCGATTTACAAACGTACAGTTTTCATATCTTTTCCAATTCTGCATGCGTTAGTTGTCTTTGAACCTGTTTGAATCAATTGAAAATTTGCATATTTTTTAGGCCGCCGACAGTTGAATCGTTTTTCTCGGATTTCTCAGAATTTTAGCGGTTTTTTGAAAAACAAACTACATCACGTTTGTTTACTTGGTAATGCCTTCCTGCAAACCAAAACTGAGCAAAATCGAAACTTTGAGCGTGACCGATTGATGCTCGATATTAGTGGACCTTCGCTCTTAAACAGCTTTCGGCGCTTACTTTAATAGGTAAGTTATTTCGTTTCCACACTCGGTGCAAACTGTTTCATTCGAGGACAAAGAAATATCAATTCTTGAGAATGTTTTTTAGACCCATTGACGGCGCGCGGTGAAGTAATTGTATGAAATGTACACACCCTTTCAGAGACACCCTTTTTAATATGTCAAAATTATTCGCGCCAAAATTTTTAATGCGATTTAAATTCCTGCAAGCGACACAAGTCGACCACTCGCGACTTCGTCGCTCGGGTCGCGCGCTCCCTCTCCCGCGCCCTCCCTCCCCCATGGTCGACTTGTGGCAAGTCTAATTGGTTGCAAGTCAAGAATATAACGTTTTGCACCTGGATTACTTTTGATTTTCGGAAATTGAAATACTTTACCTTCGCCGATGACCTCACTTTATAACTGGAGTTAAATCTCTTAAAGCGGAAGAAACCCCAGTAAGGGGCCGACCATTTAACTTTTGATGTGGGGGGGGGGGGAGAGATTTACTGCTGGAAGGGAATTTTTTTCTTGATATGGGATCGTTATGTGCAAGATAAAATTCCCTTATTCCATGACCATGTACGATATTTTTTTGCCACTCTCTCTTTTGCAGCATTTTCTTCAATAGCTTATACTATTTAGATTCTTTAATTAATAATAGTTAACGTTGATTTTTCTAGCTTCATGCATTGCTTTTAATAATACCTATTGCTATGAGATATAAGATTTGGTTCAGGGCCTCTTTACGGATGTGTAACTGGAGGGGACATATTTAGCGGGGGACCTGGAGAAGTTCTAGTCGGCAAGTCTGCATCACTGCAGCTACCAGCATATATATGCATGGTGTAACTAATAAGTATATCCCATAGGGCAGCAGGTCAAGCCAATATTACCTAGGATTCTGAGACAACCGAG